CATTCATTCATTCATTCATTCATTCATTCATTCCTTTTTTGTCTTTTTTACTGACCGGTAACGGGATCGCAACCCTCAGTGTCGCGCCCGTACCGGGGACCGGCAACGGGATCACAACTCTTGGTGTTGCATCCGCACCACGCTCAGCCAGTGAGCAGGAACCGGTCTCCACATGGGATCCGAACCCTCGGCGGGAGCGCCGCCATGCTCCCAAGCGGCACACTCTCCAGTGCGCCACCGGGCCGGCCCCATATCTTTTATTTTTTAATAAGCATTATTACATAGTTATAAACCATGTATATATCTATTTTTTCTTCTTTTCAAACAGGACATTTTGGCCTATTCATTTTTCATGAGTCTACACTGTCATTAATTTTTAAGCATAGGCCTATATTGTACATCAATGGATGTACATAACTATTTGATTCCCTTACCATTAGGCATTCAAATTGCTTTTATTTTTTTGTTTTGTTTATTTGCTACTATAAATGACATCCTCATGCTATAACTTTGTTCATATCTTAGAAACATTTCTCAATAAGATTTTTAAAGGAAAAGATATTAATATTTTTATGACTTTTTATAATATTGCCAAAATGCTTTCCAAAAGGATTGATAGAATTTACAGTGCATTTGCCAGTCTTTCAGGATGAGCATTATTATTATCATTGCTATTAAACCTGAAAGGATAGCCAACATTTACCATCTCTAATTCCTCACCTCACATTCACTTTTTAAAAAAATTATAATCTGTTTTTTCAAGTAAACTCCTGAAGCTACATTAACTAAGATCACACATGATCTTCCAAATGGTCGAATCTAACTATTTTTTAGTCCTTATCCTATTTGATCTCTACAGAATTTATATTATTCACTTCCTCCCTTCTTGAAATTACTCATCCTTGACTTCAAAAATTCCACTTTTTTTTTTTTTTTGGTACATTTTCTATCCTGAGATGGATTTTTATCTGCCTCACAGCCAGCCCCCTTCATTTCTACTTGCTTCTAAAATGTGGGCCTATTCTATCCATGATCTTCTTTCCTTGTAAAGCATCTCCTGGAAGGAGCATTCATTCCTTCAACTTGATATTTGCTTATCTGTAAATAACTATCTGATTTTACTTCTAATTCACCCTTTATCTTGGGCTGCAGACCTGTATTTCCTTCAGTAACTAGACATCACCCTGCAAATATCATAATCTTCTGTCTTTAGCCTGTGTATGCTCATGTCAAGAAGAAGGAAACCTGAAAGTCACTCTCCTGTTCCACCTCCTTTCTCCATCCTCACATTTTACCAGCTACCAAGTCCTGCTTATTCTCATGAAGAATAATTAGTACAGGCCAGGAGCTTTGGGCAGCCTGCCCCACCTGGCAAAAGGCACAAAGCACTCCCAGGGACCTCACCAGGAACTGCAGGCTGCCTCCCTCACCTGGCAGAAGGCAGGAGCATGCCTGGGAACCTAAGCAGGAGCTGCAGGCAGCTGCCCACTCAACAGAAGGCCACAGCATGCCACAACACCACCTGCATGTGGGTAGTCCACCAGAGCCACTGCCACAGTCTCTGCCACTGCAGGGGTGGCTCACCAGCACACTAACAGTCATGGCTACCATGCAGGCAGCCTGCCATGTACTCAAATGCATTGAAACAAGGAGAGTCACCAGTGGAGCCCAGAAAAAAGAGAAGGAAATCTCACTCCTCAAAGCCCACTCCAGAGTAAAAGAGGAAGCAACTGCTCTACCAGATGACCAGATATCAACACAGAGATACCACACATATGAAAAAAACAAGAAAATATGACACCACCAAAGGAACAGAGTAATTATCATGTACCAGACGCCATAGAGCAGAAATTCCTTGAAATGACTGAAAAGGAATTCTGAGCAATAATCTCAAGGAAACTCAGTGAGATACAAGAAGACTCAGACAACACAATGAAACAAGAAAGTATATCTAGGATACAAAGGAGGGAATTTATATAGAGATTAATACCTTAAAAAAGAATGTAGCAGACCGGCCCAGTGGCGCACTGGAGAGTGCACCGCTTGGTAGTGCGGCGGCGCTCCCGCCAAGGGTTCGGATCCCATGTGGAGACCGGTTCCCGCTCACTGGCTGAGCGTGGTGCGGGCGCAGCACTGAGGGTTGTGATCCCGTTGCTGGTCCCCGGTACGGGCGCAACACCGAGGGTTGCGATCCCGTTACCGGTCAGTAAAAAAGACAAAAAGGAAAAGAAAAAAAAGAATGTAGCAAAACTGTTGGAACTGAAGGATTCATTTAATAAAATAAAAAACACAACTGAGAGCTTAAGCAGCAGGTTAGAGCAAGCAGAAGAAAGAACTTCGGATCTCGAATATGTCTTTTTGAAATAAACCAAGTGGACAATAAAAAAAAAAGAATTTTAAAAAATGGAGAAAATCTAAGAGAGCTATCAGACAACCTGAAGTGCACAAACATCAAATTGTGGGTTTCCAGAAGGGGAAGAAAATAGAAAAGGCATTGAAAATCTATTCAATGAAATAATAACTGAAAACTCCCCAGGTATATGGAGAGACATGGACCTTCAGATTCAGAAGGCTCAAAGATCACCAAATAGATTCAATCCAAAAAGATACTCTTCAAGACACATTAGAGCAAACTAGCAAAGCTCAAAGACAAAGAGAGAATCCTAAAAG